AATGATGCTTTTGAACTGTGCTGTTGGAGAAGACTCTTAAGAGTCTCTTGGACTGCAAGAAGATCCAACTGGTCCATCCTAAAGGAGATCAGTCCTGGGTGTTCATTGTAGGGGGTGATGCTGAAGCTGACACTCCAATACTTTGGCCACCTGATGCGGAGAGCTGACTCATTTGAAAAGACCCTGATGCTGAGAAAGATTGAGGGCAGGAGGAGAAGGGGACGACAGAGGATGAGATAGTTGGATGGCATCACCGACACAATGGACATGGATTTGGGTGAACTCTGGGAGTTGGTGATGGACAGGGAGGCCTGGCATGCTGCGGTTCACAGGGTCGCAAAGAGTTAGACATGACTGAGCGACTGAACTGAACTGAACCGAACCGAACCAGGTCTTAGTTGTGGCATGCAGTATCTTTGATCTTCATTGCAGCATGCAGGATCCCCAGTTACCACATCCCAGATACTTTGTTGCAGCATGTGAACTCCCAATCACAGCATGCAGGCTCTAGCTCCTGAGCCCGGGATCAAAATCCAGCCCCCTGCATTGGGAACACAGAGTCCCAGCCACTGGACCACCAGCAAAGTCCCAGGAGTAGTTTCCTTCTATTTCTAGTCTGTTTAGTGTTTTTATCATGAAAGGTTGTAGAATTTTGTGATATGCTTTTTCTGCATCAATTGGGATGGTCATTTTTTCCCCTTTATTCTAGCAATATGATATATAATGTTGATGGATTTTGATATGTTGAACTATTCTTACATGTCAGAATAAATTCCACTTGGTCATGGTTTATATTCCTATTATTATACTGCTAAATTCTATTTGCTTGTATTTTGTTGAGGAGTTTTGCGTCACTGTTCCTAAGGGATATTGATCTGTAATTTCCTTTTTTGTAGTGCTTGTCCAGCTTTGGTGTCTGGGTTACCTTATTAGACTCTTCACTTTTCTGCAATCTTTTTTTGTTCTCTTCCTCAGACTCAATAACCTGTATTGTCCTATTTTCAAGGTCACTGATTCTTTCTTCTGCCTGGTTTAATTTGCCTTTGAATCCCTCTAGTCAATTTTTTTATTCACTTATTCATTTTAGCTCCAAAATTTCTTTCTGGTTTCTTTTTAGGTTTTTTTTATCTCTTTATTAATATGTCCATTTTATTCATATATATCTTTTTTTAACTTTGTCTACAACTTCCTTTAGTTCTTTGAGTATCTTTAACATTTAATGTATTTAGTATATCTTATATCAGCTCTTTTTTAGGAACAGTTTCTGTTGATTTGTTTTTTGCCTTTGAATGGGCTGTACTTTCCTATTTTTTGTGTCTTGTGATTTTGGAAGAATTGAAAACCTGACAGATTGTATTATAATAATTCTTAATGTGGGTATGTTTATGTGTACTCTTATATTTATCCTTCTTTGTATGCATTAATATTTTTGGATATATTGGTGCATTAATTTTTATAAAGTTTTGGAGATTTTTTAAAAACTTTCATTTCCTCAGACTTTTTTTTTCTGTTCTTCCTCTCTTAGGATTTCAATCACACATATATAATTTGGATAAATTCTATTCCTACATCTGTAAATTCAGTGATCTTTACATCATCTATAATACCTAATCTGATGATAATTTCATCTGATGAAATTTTCATTTCAGTTATTAATCAATAGCAAAATTCAGTTATTGAATTTTCATTTCCATGAAACTTTTTCATTTCAACTCTGGAATTTCCCTTTATTTTTTATTTCTTACAATTATGTCTTCATTATGTTCATATTTTACTTTAGATCTGTTTTATACATCACTTATGTTTATGTTTTGTATCATTTAACATCCTTATTTATTAATTTTACCATCTCTTTCCTTTCCAAGTTTGCCATTATAGGGTAATTTCTCTTGGTTATAGGTACATTTTTCTCCTTCTTTACCTGTCATATAAATTTTGTTTACATGCTGGACTTTGTGATTTTACCATGCTGGTTACTAAATTTTCTTGTTCTCCTTGAAAGAATTTTAGACTTTTTGTAGCGTGCAGTTAAGTTGATTGAAGATTCTTTGGATGCTTGCTTTTTTTTTTAATATAAGTTTATTTATTTTAATTGGAGGCTAATTGATTTACAATATTGTCGTGGTTTTGCCATATATTGACATGCTTTTGAGTACTTTAGTGGAAGTTCTAAAGTCATTCTAGTTTTAAATTATCCCGCTTCAGAAGAGTAGCCCTCTGTAGTCTCTAGAGAATGCCTGAGTTATTACTGAGATCTGTGCACTCTCACTGGATGGAACTTGAATCATTCACACACCCAGTAGAAGCTGTCCAAACTGTCTTAGAATTTTCTGGTAATTTTTCTCAAAGTTGATTGTAGCATGCTTCAAAGAATTTTACTCCACAAGGGTATCCTTTGATATTTATTTATATATTGAAGGAAAATCTTTACATATTTCCGTAACAGTCTTCTTTTTAGCATAGCTCAATCTCCTGTGGAACTCTAGTCCACAAAGTCTAGCTGTCTTGACCTCTCCTTCATCTAGTTTTTTCTCATTTCAGCACAATTTCTGGGTCCCTTTTAGGTTTTTCTTAGTACCACAGTCCAGTACTCACCTGCAAGAAGAAGGCCTGTAGAATGGGAGAGGCTGTTTATTTGTTTACCTTTTCTCCAAGACCATCATGCTGTGCTCACTGTTGTCCATTGACTGAAAAAGTTATTTCCTTATTTCATCCAGTTTTCTAATTGTTTATGGGAAGGATGCTAAGTTTCAACCCTGTTACTCTCTCATAGCCATTACAAAGTCCTCTTCTTAGGTATTTTAATGAGAAAAGAAGACAGAGTCTCATAAAAGCAGAGATTCTTCAAGGAAAACTTCAGAAAACAAAATTAGGATCTTTTCTAATGATACGACCTGATGTGAAGTGTCTAGGACAAGAAGTACTCATGGCAAGTGCCTAGCTGGAAAATGGGTCAGAGAAACAGGGAGATTGTTTGGGTGCCTACTTTCTATGACTCTGAAGACCACAGAGCATTGCCCCATCCTCATCTCATTCACTTTACTCTCAAGTCACTACTCTACCTGTCTTTCTCTCCATTCTAAAAAGTTCATGGATAGAGAAGTTATTCTTTCATCATAAACATTATACACCAGAAAATGTTAATCCCTAGGGCATTAAAATATTGACATCAACTATGAATTACTGGTACCTTTGCTGAGATTGGGTAGGAGTAAGACTTGTGACCTTGATGGACTTTCTGAGAATCCTGTCTGTCAAGAGGACTGAATTCAATCTACTGACCCTTTCTCTTTTGTTTTCCCCTTTGCATGCAGCCTGGATGAGGTGCCTTTCCTCATGCATGATTATGACCTGAGAAGAACAACCAATATCTTGGAAGTCATGCCAAATGCCTCCGACAAACACAGTAGTTTTTTTTATTGGAATTTCCTGTCGACTTTGAATGCAGGCAAATGGTTTGCAGATTCACGGGTAAGACACATTCCCCAGATCAAAAAAATCTGCATTTACTCCCACTTGTATGGTCAAATGCTGCTCCTGGAGATAAGTACACTGTGTACAGTGTAATTTTGATGCAAGTGTGAATGAGTCTACTTGAGAGAGTTGGAGAACATTTCATGCAGAGGTATCATTTGAACTAAAATAAGATCATTACTAAGAGGAACCATGGGCATTGATGGATTGATGGTGGTTTGTTTCAGAGATTATAGTATTCTGGAGCAAGAGAAGATATATTTGTGTGTGTGTGTGTGTGTATGAATGTGTAAGAAAGAAGGGAAGGAGAGGTAGGGAGGAGATGGAAAAACAGATGGAGAGAATAATCAGGAAAATATGTTATAAGGAGACTATAGCATTGCTTAAATAACAAGTTAGAGAGTTTAGAATTATCCTGAATATTTTAAATAGGTAAAACAAAAGGTCAAATTTGCATGTGATAAAAGTCAAGCCTGCCTTCTCAAAAAAGTTAAAACAAAACTTAACGTTTTCTAGGTTATCATATGTCCAGAGGGAATCTACATGAATTCGGTTTTATCAATCAGATGTACTCATTTTGAGTCTTTGATTCTGACAACAAGTATCTGAGCAGGGCATACAGCAAGCATTCGTATTGCTACCTCCTGTGGCAGCAAAGCTAAGATAGTTGGGGGCAGCTGTAGTAATAGATCTCTTATCGGGTAATTGTGTAATTAGGAAAACAATTTTCAAATACTTTTGATTATGTACTAGGTGGAATGGAATTTTATTTATCTCTAATGTTAATCTAGAGGATCCATTTAATCTTTTTTCATGTTAAAATAGAAGTAAAGAGCTATGTGAGAGTAAACTCATCCACTTCAAATGTATTCTAGTATGTAACTAGTGTTAATATAAGGAATAGCTAAAGATTGATTTGTAAGGACTGTATCACCTCAGAATACTTATGATCGTATGAGTACATAGCCTATAAGCATTATTTCCGTATATGAAAGTAGTGGGATCAATCTGATAGTCCAAGTGTCTATATGTAGACTCTGTACATATCTCATCATACATGAATAAATAGACGCATAGAAACTAGAGATGCTTTATTAAAGTGCATATATTGGCTTAGTTAGTCATAGGTGATGTTTTGTCTAATGTGTGTTCCAGATGAATAGGCTGTTACTGTATCTGTTGTGTAACATATGGCTGGTAAAAGTCTCCATGGTAAGTGGTGTGATTAGATATGTTATTGTAACAAATTTTGGTGGCTTCTTTTAGGATGAACAGTTTTTTCTTAGGATATTTAGATGATATGCTTGCTGTGCTTTGTTTTGCTATTGCTTTAGCTACTGAGGAATATCCTGAAACCTCAGGTTCAAATATGGTTATCTAAGCAACTTTATTTTTAGGTTTGTTTGTGTTTTCTTTACTTGCATGCTGTATGTTCACTGGTGGCCAATATGGTGATGCACATAATTTTAAAGATTTGAATGTTTGGATAATTTTCTGAAGAAAAATTGGTTTTCTTTGTAAAAAGTACTCTGTGTTTCTCTTCATTTGGATAGGTATACTTATGGACTGATATGGTGGTGAGTTGATGATTATTTGTTAGTATATTTGTTTTTCTTGAGATTTTATGTGAAAATTAAGTAGTTAATCTGATCAGTAATGAAATAAAAATAGATACAAAAATTCTGGGAGTTGTCTCTGGAAGCTTAGCTAAGTTCCCGTTTCTCCAGTAAAACCCCTTTGTGTGGAACATTTTTATATCCTTTTGTGAAAGTATAAATCTCAAAATTACAGAGATGTAATTCTCATGCATATAGACAGTAAGCAGAGTACAAGTTTTATTTAGCATATTCATGTGGGAAGAAGCAGGATGACAAACCCCGCTCAAAAGAAAAATGAGAAAACAACAAGCAAATACTCAGTGCAACAAAGAAATACTAAAATTGCATTGCTAAGTTGGATACAAATCTAGTGTATTGTTTTGGTTAATATACTCTGTGACAATAAAGTTTACTTTTAGAGTTCTCTTCTCTATCAAAACTCATTTGCATCTCTACCACACAAAAATCTTTTCCTCTTTCATCAGTTTTCTAGAAGTCAACATCTAACTTTACAAGTCTGTCCCTAATTAATAATAAATAATTCAAAGAAAAATACATTCCCTTAAGAGATGACACTTAGGTGTGCCTGGTAAGAAAAAATGTGCTACCATGGTACTGGAGGATTCAACAAGCCTTATTTCTGAGTTTTGAATAATTTAGTTCCCCTCTTGTGATCATAATCATTGTGATTTGTGTTATTTGGCTTTATTGATTTACATCAGTGCAGTTAAAAGGGTTGGTTACTACACATAAGGTTCCTTGTTGTATAATCAGCAAACCTAGAGTCAGATTGTGTTGTACAACTACTAAGGCTATTAAATGAGGTTCTGTCTAGAGAGTATATAAGGAATCTAGAATTTCACTTTTAATAGTCCCTGTCATTCCAGAGCTCTTTTTCTCACTACTACTTTAAAAGTTAGAAGTTCACTTGAACCAGGTTTCACATCTATAGCTACAAATATGTGCAAATTTCTCTTTCCTTTTCCTGCTAGTCATTGATCTTTTTTGCCTGTAATGTTGAAACAATGTACAACATCTTGACTCAATGTACAAAAGTCATGCCTGACTCTGCAACCCCCTGGACTATACAGTCCATGGAATTCTCCAGGCCAGAATACTGAAGTGGGTAGCCTTTCCCTTCTCCGGGGATCTTCTCAACCCAGGGATCAAACTCAGGTCTCCTGCATTGCAGGCAGATTCTTTACCGGCTGAGCCACAAGGGAAGCCCCAGTGTACAACAGGGGACACCAGATACTTTGCCTAGGAAGGCTCGTAGGCATTGGTTCCAAATACTGATTATATGTATATCCTTAGTGGGGACTGATGTTTTGTCATATTCTATTGAATGACATTTATTCTCAGATATGATCCTGCAGATATGACCTTTACAACACAATCAGTTTTTCCAGTTATATCCAGTGTAAAGGGGCACATATTTTTATTCAGTTTATGCAAATAACTGCATTGCCCTGAAACATAGTGACTCAGTAAAGAGAATTTGTACCTGAATTCAGGGGAGTGGTGAGAACAAGTTATTAAATATTGGGTTGGCCAAACAGCTCCTTAAGCTGTTAATTAAAAATGAAGGACATTTTCTCATCTTCACCAAGAAGTTTATTAAACAATGTATACACCATTTTGTTCCACTGCCTTCTGCCATTTTTCTGGCAAGTTCATAATTCTTTCTTCAAAATGTTTTATCTTTGTGAACAAAGAACTGTTTCAGGTGCCTTGTACAATCTTTCAGGAAACTGAAATCTTTTCCACTAAGAGAATTTTGTAAAGACCAAAATCAACGCAAATCCAAAGATGCAATGTCTGATGAATATGACAGTTGAATCAGAACTTCCCAACCAAACCATAACAGTTTTTGCCTGATCATCAAAGAAACATGCAGGCTTGCATTACCCTGATGGAAGATTGTTTTCTGCTGACTAATTCTGGATACTTTTCATTGAATGCTGCTTTCAGTTGGTCTGAGAGCAATACTTGTTGGAATTAGTCATTTGGTCTTCCTGAATGAGCTCATAATAGAGGACTCCCTTCCAATCCCACCATATACACATCATCACCTTCTGTGGATGAGGACCAGGTGTGGTTGGTGGTGGCTCATTTTGCTTGCCCCGCAATCACTTCTGTTCCACATTATTGTACAATATCCACTTTTCATCACCAATCACAATTTGTTTTAAAAATGGAACATTTTCATTATGTTTAAGTAGAGAATCACATGCAGAAATACTTTCAAGGTCTTTTTCACTTACCTTATGTGGAACCAAAACATCAAAGCAGTAACATAACCAAGCTGGTACAAACGATCTTTAACACCTGACTTGGTTATTTTGAGTATGTCGACTATCTCCCTTGTCATATAACTTTGATTGTTCTCAATTAATGTATCAATTTGGTCACTATAAACTTCAACTGGTCTCCAGTCTGTTTATAAATCTCCAGCACTGAACTTCACAAACTACTTTTGACATGTTCCATCAGTCACAGCACCTTCTCCATACATTGCACAAATCTTTTTTTGTAGTTCAGTTGTGTTTTGCCTTTCTTAAAATAATAAAGCATAATATGCTGAAAATTTTGCTTTTTTATTCTGTATTCCATATTAAAATGGCTATACAATTGCTGTATGATTCAGGGAGCTCAGATTCAGTGCTCTGTGTCAACCTAGAGAGATGGAATGGGGTGGGAGTGGAAGGGAAGTTCAAGAGGGAAGGGACCTATGTGTACCTATGACTGACTCATGTTGATATACAGCAGAAATCAACATAATAAAAAATGTTATTATGAAGTATTAAAGATGAAATAAAATAGCTACACAAAAATTCACAATTTTGATAAGTTAAAAAAGTTTTTAAATAGCCTAGCAATTTTTCTTAATTTGACTCATCTGAAAAGACCCTGATGCTGGAAAAGATGGAAGATGGGAGGAGAAGGGGACGACAGAGGATGAGATGGCTGGATGGTGTCACCAGCTCAATGGATATGAGTTTGAGTAAGCTCTGGGAGTTGGTGATGGACAGGGAAGCCTGGCATGCTGCAGTCCATGGGATCACAAAGAGTCAGACACAATTGAGTGACTGAACTGACTGAACTAAACTGAACAACAGCTGTCACAATAGAATCTAACAAAATTGTTTCAAATCAGGTTAGACAGCTAAGTGCTTCTAGAACCATCTTATGGGGAAAAAAAATGAATGAACATTTTGGCCAACCCAGTATTTATGATATTGTGTATTCTTGATGTTTTAACCCTTTTATCATTACATCGTGACTTTCTTTGTCCCTTGTTACCATTTCGCCCTGAAGTTTATTTTGTTGGGCATAAGTATAACTACACTTGCTTTCTTTTGATTATCATTTGCATGGAGTATCATCTTCAGTCCCTTCATTTTGAGTCTACGTGTATCTTTAGAACTGAAACAAGTGTCCTGAAGACACCATACAGTTCAGTCTTATTTTTTAATCCATCCCGCCACTCTGTGC